CATGAAGTTCGTGAACGGGGGTGGGTGGGGAGAGGGGGTGGGTATCCTCCTCAGCCCTGCCTGCATCCTCTCCAATCTGGGACCCCTAGGGGAATGTCCGACTGCGAGTCATCCCCGGCAGGCAGACATCCCTCTCACAATCCTGGACCGCTGGCTCCTAATCACTCACTTGCCTGCCTGCCTGGTCACTCCTTACTGTCCCCCCTGCCGGTCTAGTCGCCACTCACTGCCCACCCACCGCCAGCCTAATTGCCCCCAACTGCTGCCCCCCTGCTGGCCTAGTCACCCCAAATGGCCCCTCTGCCGGCCTGGTCGCCCCATGCAGCCTGCTGATTAGTCGTTTGGTTGTCCCTCACTAAACCCCCCTGACAGCCTAGTTGCAGGCAGCCATCTTGGGAGGTTGTGAGGGTTAATTTGCATATTACCACTTTATTATATAGGATAGCAGAGAATTGCAATTTAGGACAAGCAAACTATGATAAAGCTGTAGGCAACTCTGGAGAACAAAGGAGAGGAACACTTTTGCATAGAGAAAAGGGAGGAGTTGGAAAGGGCTGTTGTGAACAAAATGTCCATGGGAGGAAACCTGATGTTCAAAGTGTAGTGGCTTCTCATTGGCTGAATCATGACAGTTTCTCATTGGCTGGGTCTGTTGCTAGGCAAGGAGAAAAATCTTCCTTCTGCTGGAATAGTAAAGCAAGTTTCTTCTTGTCAAGAGATATAAGGGTAAGCTTCTTCCTTTTGGAATCTGTAACGTGTAGGTGAGTGGTAGTGAGTGCTCCCTCTGTAGGACTATTTGACTCCATTTTAAATTATGTTTCCTTGTTCATTTTCACACCTGGTTGGCACAAAGCAATGGCTCTCTGCCTTGACTGCTCAAATCCAACCCAAATTAAATTAGAGTCTCCACAGTGAGACTCAAGCAGGGGTATATTCCAAAGCTTCTGGGAGATTTCAGTGGGCATCCAACCGAGAAGCACTGGCATAAGGAAATCAGGGCCTCCATTCTTTTATGGAATTACCCAGAGGTCACTGCAGAGTCCTGCCAAACAGATACCAGAGGAAGGCAGGGAGGAATGGTGAGTGGGTGGATAGCACCAACAGGAAAATGTTAGGTCGCTCATCTCCTGTCACACCTGGTCTACCCTGTCCTCGGGGAGCCTTGGAGCTTTAGGCAAGCCAGGATAGAAGATGGGAAAGGTCATGGGTACTGGGAGAAGGGGCACTTCAATTTCAGCTGTCTGGAGGGAATCCATTTTTAGGGTGCTTAGTCTAGCTATTATCCCAAGCAACAACGTGCCCCAGTCAAACCAGCCCACAAAACCAGAGCAGAACCACCAGGCAACAGTGTAGTCACACCTCAGTGCCTCCGGGCATGCTGTTCCTCCACTGGAGAGTGCTCTCCGAAGGGCTTTCCCCGGCAAAGCATCCGTTTTTCTTCTGCTGCCAATAAAAATCCCCAGCGCTGTTCTTTCTCCTTCGCTTCCTTCGATTGCTTCTGACAGAGTTTGCCAGTTAGCTGAGGTCAGGATTTCCTTTTTACAAACAACCTGCTTTCAGTCAGTGGGGCCAAAGGTTTCCTAAATTACAAACCCTTTCATTTCTTCGGCTACAAGTTCTCCTGTCAGTTTGTATCATGGCACAGAACGGAGAGAAATGGAAACATGCTGAGAGACACCGAAAGAAAGGAGAACTTTTACTAAATTTCTCCTTCGGGCTGTCAAAAAACGATTCTGCGCGGGTGGACAGGACTGTTCCAGCTGCAGCTTTTGTGGCTGATGTAGGGTGGGCACATGTTGGAGGCTTGAAATTTCTTCCAGGTCTGTAGTAAATGAACGTATGATACCCATGGCATTGTCTCTGCATTCTGTTGAATCAATGGCCTCCTTTATATCCATTGGAATTGGGAAACACCCATGTCATATTCAGATGTTTTGAAAAGCAGACTTAAAAAGTTGTTGCAAAATGTAGGTGTGTCTGACATTTGTAAATGCTGATTGGAAGATACATTTTAAACCACGCTCTGGAAGGATGACAGAATTGAGGTGCTTACGTTTAAAAGAAAAAGCACTCAGGCATCACTGGGCATCTGTGCTAACGGTGGACAGGATGCCAACTACCTTGGTGTGTGGTGACAGAGCAGGGGCCACCCCAGCTTCTCTGACCTGAGCGCTCAGTGATTCTCTGTTGTATCCAAGAGTCAGTTGGGGTCTTGACTCGAACTTATTTGGTGTGACCTCTTGGGCAAAGCATTTAACCCGAGTTTTGTAATGTGTAAAATGAAAGGGGTTCAACCAGAGGTGGGCAAACTTTTTGACTCGAGGGCCACAATGGGTTCTTAAACTGGACCGGAGGGCTGGAACAAAAGCATGGATGGAGTGTTTGTGTGAACTAATATAAATTCAAAGTAAACATCATTACATAAAAGGGTATGGTTTTTTTTTTTTTAGTTTTATACATTTCAAACGGGCTGGATCCGGCCCGCGGGCCGTAGTTTGCCCACAGCTGAACTAGACAGTACTCAGACCTAACATTTGAAGTCAAACTCAGTGTAGAAAGGTGTCAGTCTGGGTGCTGATGCAGGAGCCTGTTCAAGGTGGGGTGGGGGCGTCATGCTCATGTATAATGAAAGCATGTGTAATACAAGCTCATGTATAATACAAGCTCATGCATAACTTCATTGAGCCTGAAGTTAGGACAGACAGTTAAAGTGCTTACCCCGTGGCTGGCAAGCCCCTCGCCCCGCACTCTGCATGCACCAGTCCCACGTCCCATGGTGTCTTTCTCATCTTCCCTGCTCCACTCCTTCCTGCTCACTCTAAGCCTCTCTCATGCTCTCCCCACCTCCCGCTCTGCGAAAGCCGGCTTCAGCCTCAGGCCTCAGCTCAGATATCAGCTCTTCAGGGAAGCGTTTTTCCTGCCTGCCCCATTGGTGATGCTCATTAAAGCTTGTTTTATCGCTGTAATTAATTCTTTGTTTTTTGCCGCTGCCCCTATCCTTGAGGTCTTGAACTAGACTGTCTTTTGTATCTTGTTTCCTGGGCTAGGACAGAATAATGCAGTGAGCTTACAAGTGGCCTGTGCAGCCAAGGAGCTGGGTCGTTAGTTGGGGAGAAGAAATGTATTTGAATACTCAGCCAGCACAATAATAGGCAATATTAAATAATATGCCAAGCAGAGTCCCAAGCATGGTGTACGAATTAGCTTACTTTGTCATAATAATGCCCTAATGTAGATATTGTTATGCCTGCTTTACAGATAAGGAAATGAGGGCACAGAAGTTAAATAACTGGGTTAGCTAAGTCAGGAAAGCTGGTATCAGAACCCAGTCTGCCTGCAGAAGCCAGGCTCTTAACCACTAGGCAACACTATTGATTTCACAGTGGTAGTGAGAGTCCTTCCTCTTTGGCGGTGTCCACATTCTTCTAGTGTCTCACCTCGTCCGTCTCTCCCCCTCCCCCCCCCAATCCAACCCATTAGCAAGTCCTGTCATCGCCGTCACTCAGATTTCCATTTCCCCATCCTAATCTGAACCTGGCCATTGCTCACCTGGACTGATAGCTCATTTTCCCACCCCTCTTGCCTTCTATAGGCCCTTGTTTACCCAACAGCCCTGAGAAAACTCCTTAGTGGCCTCCCATTCCCTTTGGAATAACACCCAAAGCCGTACTGTGACCTCAGGGTTTTCCCAGTCTCCATTCCTTTCCCAAGTCACCTCTTCTTGTCCCATGGGCATGAGTTTTACTCCCAGTGCACACTAAATAGAAGTATTTTCCCCTGAGGACCTTTGCCTATATGCTCTGCCCCTGAACTTTACATGCCGCCTACTTCTTAGCATTTTGTCTCAGTTCAAACATCTGGTCTCTGTTCATCGTTTCCAAGGAAGCTTATGCACTGTCACTTACCCATATCCCTTGTTTTAATTTTCCATAAGGAGCGTTTCCTAGTGAATGTGTCTTATTCATTAAAACATTTCTTGTGTATTCCCACCTGCTCCAATGTCAACACCATCCTCAGGATCAGGGACCGGCTACCTTCAGCTCCTAGGACAATGCCCTCGTGGTGGGGGATAAGGCTTATGGATTGTTTGGTTTATTAAAGGGCCCCATTAATGTGCATTGAAGGGTTGCTCAGAATAATAATGTGAGAGAATGTCAGGAAAAAAAGTAGACTGTATTTGGCAACTCTAGAATGTCAGGTAGAGAAATCGGGGCTCTAATCTATGCTCAAAAGGGAGCCTAAACATTTTGGCCAGGAGATATAGTGTTAAAAATGGTGCTTTAGAAAATTCATCTTTTGAGGGTATGTCCTCCATTTTGCCCATTTCCATACTTTCTTCACCCAGTACCTAAACATCCCTCCACTGCCTACTCTTGCCTCTTTAAAGACTTTCTCCATGTATTTTTCATCTTCAGGAGTTCTGAGCATGCTCAGGCCCTTCATAATGCCTGCCTCTTGTCCTGTTGCATGCGTGTGAAAAATGTACATGGTGGGCCTGATAAATAGCTCAGACAACTGCATGTTGGATTTTCACGTGTTTGCATGTTGTGTGTCTAAGATGAAATCCCAGGAGGAAGCAGGTTGTGCTGATTTATAGCTCTCTGTCAATGAGTAACCTGGCCGACTTTCAGAAGTATATCTGTGGGCATTCTTTTGGATAAAACTGCTTTATATTGCTGTCCCTCCGGTGCACACGTGGCTAAATCTATGCTCTGTCATTCAAGATCTTTAATTCTGAATTCTGTTCTGTGGTAGGTACTTGAGTGAGGGTCTGGCTTATAGAGTTTTAGAGGAAGGAAAGAGCTTTTCCATTCATCTGTTCTTACGGCGAACAAAGAACCAGCTGTGACCTTCCAGATTAGTCTCCTCAGGGACCGATGAAGCCGTTACTAGAATTGCTTCATACAACTTTTGTTGGACTATGAGCATTGCAATGCAACCAGGTCCTGCTATTTCTTGTAACCAGGAGATAAAGAAGAAAATACTGACAATCGAGGAGCTTACAGTACTTCACAAATCAATTTTATTAATTTAAACACAAAATTAATGAAGAAGAATTCTGTACACAACTGTGGACACAACACACCTTTCTACAATAAGGCCGAGATAAACTTTGTCTTTTCAATCTGCGGAGTACAAAAACATAAAATGAAAAGATGAAAAATTGTCAAGTTCTGTTTGCTCCAAGCAAAAAACAAACAAACAAAAAACAACCCCAAACAATGGTTAAATAATTTGGAGAATTTTCAACTGACTAATTCTAGCAGCAACATGAAGAAAGGGAGAGGGTAGCTCTTTAGCTACTTTGGGTCTTAGCTGGTGTTTACCCCACCCAATATAATTTTAAAGGAAATTCATCCAAAAAGTAATTTCATGACAACAGAAGGCTTTATAGTGCTCAAAGTAATCCCTTTTGGAGAAACATTTTGTATGGTACAACAAAGATGACAATTTTTATTTCCCAGATTTGTCGTGTAATATATAAGACAGGTGAAGAGAAATATTATTTCTTGGTGGTGATGACTGCCACGTCCACTGCCAGCAATGAACTTTCCTGGGAGGGTGGGTGGAGAGTAGGAAAGCAGAGGGAACATGAATGTAGAGAGTAATGCAAAGTTTTGCTAATTTCCAGATGTATGGTGATGTCTTCCTTTATCTAAACAAGGAAATGCAGACATGATCATCTAAGCACATGAAAACTTTGCTAGTCTCCAATTCATGAACCATTTCATTAATAAAATATATCTATCATCCACATATTTTATGTGGGAAGAAGCATTTGAATAATCATTTTTTCCGAGTACTTACATATAATACATTAGTCTTTGAAAATGAAAAAGTGAGGTTCTAAGAGGATTTTTTATTCAAATGATTAAAGACACGGCTGTATTATTTTACCAAGGCCTTCCTCACAGCACACACAAAACAATGAACTGATTGGGGGAGGGGAGACTTGGAAAATGAAATCCTATTGACACTTGACATCCATGCTTTTGGTCTTGACAACATTATCTAAAAAAACAAACAAAAACCTATTATCTACATATTTATACCCAGTACACTTTGCTAAGGCCCTGCACACGAATCTGTGCATGTACTGCCTCATACTTCTATCAAGGCATTGCTGCCTTTCAATATTTTCTAAACAATATGTAAAAGAATCATCCATTATTACAAATTTACACCAAAAATTCTTTCTGTACATGATTGTCTCAGTGATGTACATATTATACGTTTAAATTAGACATACTTTAAACTACTTTGCAATGTGCTAAAATTCAAAGTCCTTGCTGTGTCATGAGGCCAAGGCCTTTAATCGCTTATTTCTTAGGCTATTCATAGTCTCTTCAATTACTGGATGCCCACAAAGTCTGTTCGAGGGAACTGAATGGTACTCGGATTATACCTCAATAAAGCTGTTTTTTAAAAAGTCTGTTCATAAATAAGTAGAGGTGTGCAGATTACCCTGGGTATGAGACACCGAAAAGTAAACCTTCTTTGTAACAACATCCCCCACTGGTGTTCAGGAAACATTTCCGTCTTCATTGTGCCATCAGGTTGCCGTATTGGAGAAGCTGTTTATGTCACATTGATGATGCTAAAGACTCAGGCGTCTGCAGGTCCTTTCTTCACAGGTTTGAACCATGTAGTTAACCATGCAGTTAATGTGGCGAAGACACATTACATTGTACTAGAACATTCTCATGGCTTCTTTTCATTGGATTCACAGTACTCGAGGCAACAGCTGTTTGAAGAAATAGACGTGCGTGGGCCTTCATTTACCACGAGGGCAGCAGTGAAGGCCGGCAGCAGCTGGGCGTCACCACGCTGAAATGGTACGTTCGCTAGTCTGGCACCGACAGGGACTCAGGCCTGCTGGGTTCGTTCATTCCTGGTCACTGGGCAGTTACGCGGTTTCAAAGTGCTATGTGGCGGTTACAGGTACTCCAGTTCCAAGGCGTGGTGGAGGGCCATGAGGTCCGAGTGGCTGGAGATCCTCCAGAAGGGCATGGCGTGCTGGGGAAGGGCAGACACGGGTGAGGACAGACCAGGCTCCAGCCCCAGCCCCAGCCCCGAAATCTGCCTTTGCAGTCCACTCCGGGGCTCCTCCCCCCGCACGGCCAGCTAAGATCTTAACATCACAGCGGTTTAAGCCCAAAATCCAAACTGAATGCTCCCCTAAGGACACTGGGACTGCATTTTAAAATGTGAGATTTCTTGAGTAGATCTACACCGTGACTTGAATGCAAATTTTGAACGTAGATAAAACAGTAGCTGTGACTGAAACTTTGTGGAAAAACCGTTGCCTTGGGAAATAAGTATCCAGTGGATATTTAATGCCGAAGGTCTAAGAAGTTTTCCTTAGTGGGTAGTATTTTACAAAGCTTCATTTTACTCATGTAAGAAGCAGCAACTTTTTCTAACTTCCATCAGGCATTCTTTGCATGGACCTTAAAATGGCTTTACCACATGAGGAAACCTTAAAAGAACATTTTTTAAAGGTGTTTTACGTTTTTCTAATTGTTTCATCAATCTAAAAATTAGGTTTAAATGATGGTAATATTTGTAAAACACCTGAATTAGCCAGAGACAAAACAAAACAGGTTACTTCATCCATTTAGGATGGACACAATATTATAAACTTTCTCTGCTCAAGGTATATAGTAAGTATTTACACACCAGCAAAATCTTTTTCTTAAGAGACAAAATTCTATTTGGGTTGTTTTTTTTGGCACAAAAATAATGTGAAGGCCTGGGTATACTTTGCAGTTACGGTTCTATGGAATTGTTTAAAAATTCAGACTAATACAATTTGGCATGGAAGCAAACAGTGGGCCAGAGAGGTTTGGGGATTATCTGTAGGGAACAGTGGAAACTACTCACTGTTTTGGTAGCTGTTTTATTCTGGGAAAGCAAACTATTAAATTACTTATTAACATGTCTTTTTCCTGGTAATCTGCTAAAAGCATATACCATAGTCTAATATCAAATGTAGAACTTTCTTGACTCTATATCTTTATCCTTTGTAACAGAATAGTTCAGAATCAGGTACTAGAAATCTGTTTTCAAATTTTTAGGGTGCTCCATTGAAAACCTTAGACTAGAAAAACAGGCTGTACTATTTTGCATTCATCCATTCATGAATGTTTTGAATTTGCAGGCATGGTGTATCCGCAGTTCTCAACCTTCCTAATGCCGCAACCCTTTAATACAGTTCCTCATGTTGTGGTGACCCCCCAACCATAAAATTATTTTCGTTGCTACTTTATAACTTTAATTTTGCTACTGTTATGAATCGTAATGTAAATAGCTGATATGCAGAATATATTTTCATTGTTTGCGACCCACAGGTTGAGAACCGCTGGCACTGTAGACGATGCCCCTGGCCCACCCTGTCACAGCCTGTGGGTGAGTAGCAGAAATGTACACTAATCATGAGTGTGCATCTATGTGTTATAATAGGAATAGGAGGGGCCAAGCCCCTTTGCCAGGGAAACTGGGAAGCACCTGATAAGAGGAAGTAACAGCTGAGCAAGGTCTGAAATGACAACCACTAAGAAGAGTTCTTTAATGGCTGTTTGTATTGGGGGGTAGAGGATAAAGGAGAAATTCACTATTAGGATACTGGCTGTGCGAGAGAGAAATATATGGTTAGTGACATGATTGGCTGTGGGAGCCAAGTGACGCAAGGCCTCCTGAACCCTGGTAAGGAGTTGATTAATGATAATTATAGTTACGATTTATTGAGTATGATGTCGGGCATGGTCCTAGCACTGGTCACAGACTCTCCCATGTAAGCCTCTCTATTATCACTACTTTACTGATGAAAAGCGGAGGCTTAAGGAAGGAACAGAGAGGAGATGTGAATAGCAGCTGGTAAGGAGTAAACCCAAGATTCATACAAGTTCTGGTCTACACCTGAGGCCTATATGCTGTAATGCCTCCTTACTATTCTCTGTGGCCTTTATATTCAGCAGTAAAAACACACACACACTCCTTCCCATGCTCTGTTTGGTAAGGGACACTGAAAACTCTGAGTGACTATGATACATGGATTGGGTTTGAAAAATGTTGACTCAAAACTTTCCTTATTTTTCTCTTATTAGAATAGAAATCCATGCATATTGTAAAATATTTGTAAAATGTAGAACTATACAAAGAAACTCACCTCTTCTCCTACTACCCAGATAACCTTCATCAATGTACCCACTCATATTTGAAATGGTGCACATGCAGTAGTACAGGCATATCTCGTTTTATTGCTTTTCACAGATGTTGCATGTTTCACAAGTTGGAGACAAGATACTAACTTCATTGCAGTAGTCTGGAACTGAATGTGCAATATCTCCGAGGTATGCCCATTTTTGATACATCACTTTTAAGGATAATCATTCACTAGTTATTGAAAAAAACTGCAAGTATACAAATGTACACAATGTTCTTTTACATTTAACCATCTACTTGGTATCTATTTTAATATTCCTTTTTAGTTAATAATTAACTTGTTTTTCTTAATTTTTGTATAATTTGTCAGAGATTCCCTGAGCAGCTGAATAATGGGAGTTATAGAGTAGTTCTATTGCTCTTATGTCCCAGGATGTAACAGAGACTCCTAAAGGTGCTTCAGAGAGCCATCCAGAAATTTTCAGGGAAACTGTCTTTATAAATACATATAAAAGTACTTGTGGAATGCTGTTTTCCAGAGCATGTTCAGTCAAATTATTTTGCATGCCAATTATCTGAAGTTAGACTTGTTCCTCACAGACAACAATACAAACTAGAAAGCTATTGGTGCTCTCAGAAGCATGTCATGTAAAATACAATGATTGGCAAAGAAATTCAAGAGGGAACTGAAAAAAATACCCGGCTAATTTTTGGTACATGGTTAATGTATAAATTGAGCATTTAATTCCATAGTAAACAAAGGACCTAGACAATGGCTATGAGTTTTTTTCTTTATGGGTTGAGGAGGTAATGTCAGCCTTGAGCATATTTAATTTAAACTGTTTTACTTTTAGACCATATTAAAAACATGTTATGGAAGGAAGGTGAGATTATCTGCAAAGATCCCTGCATTGCCTTGTTTAAAGCCAACAGGATTTCAATGACAGTAGCCTTCCTATGTAGAGCATGTCAAGCAGCACCCTGAAACATGTTCAAATGATGCAATATGCCTGTGGTATGTTACAGACAACTCATCACAGTGCAGTAGTAACAGGGTCATTCGAGCAAAAGTGTAAAAGTTTCTACAATGATAAGTGGCAAACCTTAGGTGTATGTGAAAGAGAACAGGCTGTCTCTGGGGACACTCCCAACGTGAGGACAGCCGCTCCATTATCAGCAGTGCTGCATAACATGATAGGTAATGATCTCAGCTATAATCAGGTGTTCCACTCTCTCTAAAATATGTACACTTACTATAACGTGACTGATAAGAAGATGACTGATCTCGGGGGCTCAAGCTCATGTTATTTCCCCTAACTAGGCACCTACTGATGTGAAGATTTTATGGATCTAAAGGAGATTCCCAGGACAAGGAGGTCCAAGGTAAATAATTTTTTTCTACACTACTGGTTAGCCTGGAACAAATATTTCTTACACGAAGTCAGATATAGTTCCATGGTGGGAGAAGGAGGTACTAGACCAGCGGTTCTCAACCTGTGGGTCGCGACCCCTTTGGCAATTGAACGATCCTTTCACAGGGGTCGCCTAAGACCATCCTGCATATCAGATATTTACATTACGATTCATAACAGTAGCAACATTACAGTTATGAAGTAGCAACGAAAATAATTTTATGGTTGGGGGTCACCACAACATGAGGAACTGTACTAAAGGGTTGCGGCATTAGGAAGGTTGAGAACCACTGTGCTAGAATGAGGAGATGATACCATACTCTCAAATCTGACTTTAGTCATGTGACTTTGAATTATGACATAGTTTCCTTGGAAGTTGTTTATTTATCTGTAAAATGAGGGTTTAGGAAAAATGACTCAGGGTTGTTTCTAGGTTTAATAAAGTCTAAGTACTATAGCTACAGAAGATGATTAATATATAATATGTACATGATATATGCCCTCATTGAAAAGAACCAGCAGGCAAGCCATATCTACTAAAACTATTTCATTATAATGTAAGGTAGTATAGGATTAAGGGTCAAAATGACCAAGCCAGAGCAATCAGGCAGGAAATAAAAGGCATCAGAATTGGAAAAGAAGTAAAACTGTCTATAGAGCATTTAGAAAATCCTAAAGACTCCACCAAAAACCTATTAGATCTAATCAATAAATTCAGTAAAGTTGCAGATACAAACATGTTAGCATTTATACATACTAATACAAACATGTTAGCATTTATACATACTAATAACAAATTATCTGAAGAAATAAAGAAAATAATCCCATTTACCAGTGTCAAAAACAATAAAATATTAGAAATAAATTTAACCAAGGAGGTGAAAGATCTCTACACCGAAAACTTCGAACTATTGATAAAAGAAATAAAAGACACAAATAAATGGAAAGGTATCCTGTGTTCATGGATTGGAATAATTAATATTGTTAAAATGTTGATACTACCAAAATTCATCTGCAATACCAACCAAGATTCCAACGGCATTTTACAGATGTAGAAAAAAAATCCTGAAATTTATATGGAACCACAAAAGATCTGAATGGCCAAAATAAATCTGAGAAAACAAAATGGGAGACATCATCACTCCGATTATCAAAATATTATGGTACTAGCATGAAGAAAAACACACAGACCAATGAAATAGAATCCAGAGTCCAGAAATAAACCCATGCATATATGGTCAACTAATAGTTGACCAGCGAGCCAAGAATACTAAATGGAGAAAAGACAGTATCTTCAGTAAATGATGCTGGGAAAATTGGTATTTTACATGTAAAAGAATGAAACTAGACCCCCATCTTGCATCACTGACAAAAAATAACTTGAAATGGATCAAAGACAACTGTAAGACTAGAAACCATAAATCTAGAAGAAACCATTTC